TCTTTATTCACGGAGGCGTCCACTCACACGGTGGGGGCGGCATGATTTTTCAAGTGAAACATTCCAATGTGCTAACGTGCCTTTTTGTTCGAAACTGTGCAACCTGGCATTTTCACATGCCACTTTGTTCAATCCTGACCATGACCTGACCGCCGTTGAGCTTGTTCGTCTGTGGTGGCTGCATCGTTCCACAGCTGGAACACTTCGGATTTTGTTGGTGATCTGGCTTTGGCTTTGCGTTTGTTGTGCTTCCCTTATTTTGCACCAAATTCATTTGTACAATGGCAAGATCAACTGATCATTTTTTGGGAGATGAAACAACATGTGTGTGTATATAGCATATAGGTTGATGGTACCAACAAACCTCAAACAACGTTAGTCAAATTGGTTGATTGCAGTGGGTGTGCTGCTTGCATTTTATTGGCTCCGGGTCCTGAAATTTTGAAGGTTCCAATTGAACTATAAACCGACACATCCGTATTTTAAAACATCAACAATCACCCATGGTGGGTCCACGGCGAGCACAGCCACCCACTTCCCAATACAGCTTGGGTCTGTGGCAGAAACGGGAAGCTCTCAGTTGCCATGGGCTGACTTTGATGGTTGCCCGGTTTGTGACCAAGAGACGACGAGACAAGACATGTGGCATTGTGTTATGGTTGTGTCACCCAAACCATCCCAACAAGCATACTATCACCAACATGCAGCGAATCTTGGTTAGCTTTGTCAAAGACCTCCTTGATTTGGTGTCAGAACATGTTATTGAAAAAATATTGGCCCATGACCTACCCAGGTCGTGTGTTTCTGTTGGCAAACACTGGACAATTTGTATATTTTTCTGCGTTCGAGGATCTTACATGCGTCATGTGTCAACCATACCATCCAAATGTTTTGAGGTGGCGCAACATCGGCTTTGCCTTGGCTCTCCCGGTCACGCTTCGAATTGCAGATGGAAAACGCCGTTGTTGGATGGTCTTTCAGGGATGAGCAACGAGGGCGAATACGAATACGCTGTGCAGACAAACCTTTTGGATGATAATGTTTGTTCTTTTTGCAGGTGCTGCCAACTTGCTTCGCAGGCAAGAAGGTCTTATATATGTAACACGACCGCGCTACTTGGAGTTGGATAGTCAAACAAGTGGTGATCAATAACTCAGTTCAGATTGGACAAAATGTAGACCACACTGCCTTGATGCAATCTTGAATAGTTTGATGCTACTTTGACTTCTTCAGTGAACCTCTTGTGAGCAGTTCATGGGCAGGCAAACCAGATGTGCAGGCCAGCCTCTTGTAGAATTATTGTGGATTGAACTGGTGCTGGACAAAACGATTTGTCACAGCTTGGCCCTGCAAATTCTGACAGTTACGGTTGTTCATGTTTTTTGTATAACCTAGCAGTAGGGGATGGAGTCATCTGAGACATATATACTATACACCAAAAAGGCAATGCAATATATAGGTTTGTCATACGGAGCAGTAGTGCAAGTGTCGTTGCGGCATCTCAGTGGCATCATGAGGCTAATCACTCGCGCAACGCGACTACAAAAGTCGACCACAAAGAGGTCCGCCAAAGGGAGGGAAAAAGGGACGGTGTCCTTGAACGCCTTTTGTAACATTTCCAACTTGGACTAGACTGGGGATGATGGGTGTAGGAACTGGCAAAAGTAGAAATTGGATTGACTCAAAACGGAGATGGACCTGGGGTGAATCCTATGTTGACTTGTTTTTATCGACCGTTTGTTGAGTTCACCGGTGGGTTTGAAGGAAAGGAGCTGTGAACTCTTGACTGCCCGGGTGGCTCAGTCTCAGGCAGAGGCAAACAGCTTGTAGAATAATTTGAAAGACTGATTCAATGAACGACCATGGGTGTTTGGTATCCCCTGATTTTCTTGTCATCATTCAAGGACGTATCGTATCCGCGTTCATGGCAGAATTTGTGTACAGCCCGAAGCTTCCTTGCAGATTTCTGAATCGGTCGTGAGCAGAAGCTCTGAACTGAAGGCAGCTGGTAATGAAACCAGCGCACTTCAAGTGTCCGGAACTGCCAAGCACCATTCCAATTTTCAATGTGGATTCTGCACAAATATGAAAGTGCGCAGACATGACGGCCCAGCACGTTTACTTTTTGACGGTTTAGGTTGTCGTATGCAGAATGCGTAGAGTATATATACATAATACACGTACAGGCACATGCGTACATGTTTACTTTTACCACCTGAGGATCACCATGGCAGCTGGAAGGGGTCAGTCAAACGTGGTGGAATCTATGCCAGGTCCTCAAGACAAAGGCTTCGGCCTATATTATTGATGACTTCGCATGATGAAGTTTTTCTCGACAGTTCTTGATGGACATTTACATAACTGCAGATTGTCAGTTTTGTTTGCCACAGACAGGGAAGGATAACGCCTAAGTCTTGCTTTCTTTTGATTCCGAGATCACGTAGTGCCATCGCGTTCTACACTTGCTTTTGGGCAGATGATTGAAGACTGTGGGGCAGCTGCTTCATCAATGCTTTAAAACTGTTCTTGATCAACAACCACTTTGTTGTCGGTTCAGAAGGTCTGTTGACTTTTAGCGAACTTTCCACCTTGTGACGCCATGTGCCGCTGATTTAGCTGCTTGTGATGCCGTGTGGGGATAGGTCGGTTGGGCCAGTCCGGCCTCGGTGGAGCCGATCCGTTCGGTGCTCCGTTCGTTGGCCGGTTGGAACCGAACGGACGGAGCCGCGAAGATGGCAACTTTCCGCGATCTCCTTGGAACGAAGTCTGTGACATCCGTGTCATGCTGTGACGGTGTGACCATGGTGTGACATCCAGCGCTCGCAACTGATTTCTGCCATAAACCTAAATCCCATCACCTTCACATTGCTGGTCAAGTCCAGCCTAGCCCGACTTATTCTGCATAAGGGATTGCTGAACGGCCCTCTTGGGCACCCACTTTATTTTTCTTCGATCAAATCGTTAATCCTGGTGAGGTTTTGACTTGTGATCCTGGCTTCGCGGTGGATGGCAAGCCCACGGCCGGGAAGTGCAAGAAGAACAAGTCATCCAAACCTGGTGTGTTTCTAGACAAAAAGTTATAAAACATCAAGGTGTTCAATCGTTCTCATAGAATCTTGTCACTTTTGTGCGACGTCAGAACCAGAAGAACCCCATCTGCTGCCCCTGCCACCGCTTGAGCAGGTGAACATGACCTGCAACAGCGACGCAGAGTGGCCTGCCAAACCTTGGTGTGGACCTTGGGTCCATCAGTTTGGCGAGTTGCAGAATTCAACACTCTGAAATGCGTTCTTGTTAGTAGTAGGTAGTAGTGGTGGTTGATAATTTTTACATTATTGTTGGTATTATTATTAGTAGTAGTTAAGGGGAAATTTTATATTTATTATATATATATATTTGTTTATGTGTTTTCAGTTCAATTCGAACAGTCAGGGTCCTTTCACATTGGTAGACAGGTTGACTGAAGGTCTCCTGCAGTTTGCTTAGTGATGCAAGGTGCATCCAGGAGGTGGCTAGGAAGTACATGTTTTTGCAGCCCAGGTGTGAGGATATCGATGACTGTGCTCTGTTGCTTTATGGGTGCGCTGAGAGATGTGGAAACAATGGGCGGAAAAGTCTTGGAAGACCTGCCTGGTGGCACGGTGGCACGGCCCAGTGAGACTTTGAGCACAGATTCTGCGATGATGAAAACAGATGGAGGTTGACAGATCACGGACAAATGGTGACCTGAACACCTCTTGGCAGGTGTGGCCCAGCTGGGCTGTGCAAAGATCTCCCACAGCGTTCGGGCCTGAATTCACTGAAAACATGTGCACTTTTGTATGTTTCATGTCAGATGCAAGGGTTGCACCATGTTGGGCCAACGGGGGGGGTTAGCCCCGCCGGCAACATATATCCAATCCGTTGATTGGTCTTTCAGGGTGGGGGGGAGTGGGGGGGGTGGGGTCAGTTTCGTCCGTGTTACTACTCGCGTACATCGACTTTGACGTTGATTTGTGGACTCGGTGACCTTTCGTTCGCTCGGTGACCGCTTTTCTTGGCTTGGAGGACATGACGGGCTCGACGTTCGAGGATTGCTTTAACACTGCGTAGCATGGGTCTTCTTGGCCGTTTTTTCATTCTCGGTGTGTTGCGTTCGGGGCTAACCCCCCCGTTTACCCACCATGTTGCACCTGATCAATCCCTAGTCACTCAGGGATCGTGAGAATTGAGGTGCAGAGTGCATCTGTGAGCGTGGAGCATATCGGGACATCGCGACAAATGGGGAGGTACGGATCAAGCTGTGGATCTGCTTTTCCGACATCAGCGGCATTTGACATTTGCATTGGCATTTTTGCAGCTAGGATTGCTTAGCTGAGCTGGCTTTGGTATGTTCGTCAGGTAGTGTGCCACTTCAACAAGGCATCTGATTGTGGTGGCCGCAATTGTGGCTCCCATGGTGTTTGCGTGCATTTGTTGGAAACTTAGTCAAGCAAAGGGCAACATACACGTGACATATGTTTATTGCTTAATTATTTGTGGCAATCCTGTTTGGGCAGATAAAACAGTAGCTTGATTGTTGAAGCTGCCACCTTGATTTCACTTCGCCCTTTCTGCTGCCCTGGCAAACTTAGAGTGGCTTGTTGAGGAAGGAGTACCAAAACACCTTTGACACTGGAAACAGCTCGTTCAGATGCAGACTGAGCCTCAGGTGCCTGGGGCATGGGATGGTAGGATCTTTACCCTTTCAAAGGCAGATATATATATATATATACAGTACATGACTCCCTAAATGGCCCTGGAGTGGAAGACTAGACCAAAATGTTCTCCTTGAGCGTGTAAAAATACAAAGGGAGCATGAGGACTTGAAGGACTCAACATTCGATCGGTCGGTGAATGTGCAATCCGACAAGAGAAAGAGCTGTTTTGGCTCAGTGGCTAAGTCATAGGCCCCCAAATCCTGAGATTTCAGGACTTTTCCTTCATACTCCGAACTCGAGAACACCACGAGTGATGTGAACATGACGCCTTGGCAACTGCGATGGCTGGCGATGGTCACTTTATGTGTTGCCGAACGCCCAAATCGTGGTGCCCGTGTGCTGGGCACCGCTGCACTGGAAGCCTTGGTGGGTCGCAACGAGAGCGAACCGGCTGCGAAGCCGGCAGAGGGCAAGGAAATCAACAAGGAAGCATTCAGCTACCCGAAATTGAATCAGAAACTTGAGGAATTGAAGACACAGACGCAAGAGTATGATCAGCAAGTCAAGGGTCCCATGATGGATGAAGCAGACTTATGGCTCCAGAAGAAGAAGAGTTATGAGGATTCCGTCAACAAGCTAGGGAAGGGCATGAATGTGCAACGTCAAATGCTGCACAAGCTCCGTACTGAGTTGAAGCAAAATGGCACTGGGAAGTTGAAGGAGACGGAGAAAACTCTGAAGGATGCCCAAGATTCTGAAGAATCAGCGGCGCCAAATGCATCCAATGAAACCATTTGAGCAAAGAAAGACAGCAGCGCGAGAAAATTCAGCATGGACAAGTTGACATAGGAGAATCGAATACAGTATATGCGTTTTTGTCAAGGCTTCCATTCCAGGAATCATGGAGAACCATGGAGTGCTATGGCTGTTGTGGCGAGGATTTTTTGTGGACATGTGGACTTGATGAATCGGAAGTCGGGCGCGTTCCCTGCGTTTGCATGGACACTCCTGAGTAACCACCTAGAGATCTGCAAGCGAGATGCGAACTCTGAGGTTGTGAGCACGGGTACATGGATGATGGTGAAAGCTGCGTGGCCTCTGATTGTGGACCTTTGCAGGACATTAGCTCCCTGGAGCCTGTTTCTATTTAAATGTCGTTGCCTTTGGTTCAGCTGGCTCATCCCGAGCACAGACAGATGAGTGTAGGACACTCCGGAAATAGTGATGTTGAGCTAGACAATCAGTGCTTGGGGGTATTTGGAGTGCTTGCCACGCATGTGGCATGTGCACAGTTGCTGATTTGCTAGGGTAGGTTGGACTGGGCTTGCAATGGATTATGAACTGCTTTTTGTCCTCAAAGACTAAGAATCGAATCAAGCCTCGATGGACAAGTCAGAGCGTCCATGTAGTCCCTTTGCGGGCTAGGATCCCTTTGGAAAATGGAGCGGGAGCCATGCCTATCTTGGAGTCAGATGCCTAGCCAAGACACTTGCTCATATGCAGAGGCGTCCAGGGCGTCCAGCTGAGATAATCAGTCTTATCCTTCACGCAACTGGGGAACATCTCCGTCCGTGGATAAACATGGCATATGTGAGTATGGGATCCAGGAACATGAAGTTTGCATTATTGCAGTTGTCATATTCAGTCATATATTCATATTCATTCATTTTCTCTTTCACTTGGCCCTCCACTCAGGAATACACACTTGAGTGTGCAGAAGGCGCATTCGTGTTGGGGGCTCAGTCACGGTGCGTATGATGCGAGTGACATGTGTGACATTGCAGTCATGAAGATCATGTTGATATTGCGGACACCTCCAGCAGCACTGCCAGTTAATGATACCGATGGCCTGACAATGGCAAGTACAAGTCCTCGTGAGAATGACCACGCAAATTTGTTGAATGCATCGAGTCAAGCGCAGGTTCCACTACTAAAATGATGCTATTTAGAGAGGTGATAGACACGCTCCGGTCCAAACAGCAACCTGGGATGCACAGGTCCTTTAGACGCCACCTTTAGGCAAAAATGTGGGCTAGTTCATTTGGAGGTTTACATGAATTGCGGTGTGGTATTGTACATTACAAGTATATATATATATATACAACTATTTGGGATTTGTATTGTTCATCTGGGCTTGATTTGTATTGTGAACCTATTCAATGGCCGCGACTGCCTAAGGTGGGGTGGTACAGAGCAAGCGATGACCATTAGTTGTCCGAAGCCTCAGAGTGTCAATCTAAAAACCTGGCGTAGTCGCTGCTTAGCCACCTGTGTTTTGCGACCTTTTCGTGGAGACATTGGACAAAAGAAGGAACAGAAACAAGAGATTGAACCATTCTTTTTCTCATCCTTTTTCTCCTTCCTTTTGTTGTTTCCTTGTTCACTCATGCACTGGAACCTGCAATTCTGACAGCACAGACAAGGCGTGTTTCAAGATTGTTGCACTCTTTCGGGACTGTTAGGCTTGGGTTCAAGGCTTGAACCCTGCTTTGACTTTCCAGTTTAGAAGGGTGACCCAGCATGTGGTGATGAGGATGGGGAAGAGGAGGTGAATGATGGTGCTGTGCGAAGCAGCCACACAGCCGGTCTTGCCTTGTTAATGTTAAGCAGAGAGCATAGCTGACAATCCCCTTGGTATGTATTCCCTTTTTGAACAACCTGATAATCCTCAATTCTTAGAGCTCGTTTGACCGATTCTAGAGAGGATTGTTAGGGGATTTGCTCTTAGGTCCATCTTATGGCCGATGGCACACAGTACCTCGGTGCCTTAGCCCTGTAGAGGACGGGCCCACAAACGCTGAAGTGCGGAGAATCTGCATGCTTAATTGGATGGATAACGTACATGTGCTCAAATGGTGGCCAAGGAAGGCTGCGGAGCATGGCTTTTGATCAATTAAATCTCTGCGGGGATGAAGATATCAATTAATCCAATTGACGCTTCATCCACTACAGGAACGTCGAAAAGCAGAGGAAGAGCGGATGAAGGTGATCTTCCATGCGGCTTGGCGTGCTTCATGACCTCAACTGGCACATGCCTAGCTCAACGGCAGGTCTTTTGCCGGATGACGTTGCTACTAGTAGCTTCTTGTTCCTAGTAGTAGGGCCAGGAGCGCCTAGTAGCGTCCTTGCTCCTAGTAGCGTCCTTGTTCCTGGTAGTAGGGCCAGGAGCCCCTAGTCGCGTCCTTGCTCCTAGTAGCGATGCCCTTTGCTACTAGTAGCTTCTTTTTCCATGTCTTGGTGTCAAGGTGTTGAGTAGACCGATTCCGACTGCAAAGGTCGCAGCTTCCGCCGTGTGCATCCTCATGGCTGGGACACCCGGTGTCGGGCAAGCGTCATGTGCAGGGCTTCACAAAGCAGAGGCTATGACATTTACACAGTCAGTATACATGAAAGATCATAAAACCAGGATAATGTGCTTTCTTGGACAAGCACTCGGAGATGAGATAAATTCAAGCACGAATTGTATGTACTGCAGTCAATCCTGACTTTTTGCATTGTTCTTGGTTTAAGCTGGAACTCACTCGTGTGCTTTCTGTTGTGCCTGCACTCTCTTAAAGCTGCCATGGCACCAATGAAAGCAATGAAGGCAATGAAGGCGATGAAAGCAATGAAAGCCATGAAAGCCATTAAGTCGTTGAACTTGGCAATGAAAAAGGCAAATGATGACGAGGCGCCAGCGATGAAAGCCATGTCCATTTTTCGGCAGCGAAGTGCTATCGAGGGATCGCTGACCTGCAATCTTCAAAGAAGCCACAATCAAATCAGACGACCCCAGGTTGCCAGAATGGCTCACAAAAGTGCAAAAACGGTAATTCCATAGGTCTCATGGAATGGTCAGTGGGCAAACCCCTGACACGTGGACAGGCTGCACAGGTAAAACTGCAAATTAGAGAGAGGAACATCAGCCAAAACTCTTTCGAAGAAAGGAGCCAGACAGCACCTCAGCGAAGACTCTCCATCGCACATGCTCATTGGATCATCCATCCGCGATTCTTGGTGCACTGTGCAAGTTCCTCGTGAGTTTCCAGTCAGCAATTGTTTGCCAACTCCAGATGCTGAGGTAGTTTATGCTCGTCACTCTAGCCATATAGGATCATAAAGGTAACTGCGGAAATAGAGCATTCCAGCGCAAGGATGACACGCACAAATCATGTGCACACCTGAAGGCCCGTGGTTTAAAAGAGCTCTCGCATGGTAGCGGAGCTGTGAAGGGCATTTCAATCTGTGCTTTAGTCATTCTTCATTGGTTTTTGATGTCCAACTGCTCCTGAGGCTGCTCTTGCGGCTGGGCTTACCATGGGCTTGGTCTCTCTTGAGAGCCTTGGCTTTTCTTGGTCCACGGGAAACATAGACGCAGCCCTTCAGAAGGAATCTACTGTATCCCCTAATGCAAGAAGACAGCCGGTTTCTGTGTAGAACCGGTGTGGGTTTTGCACCGGAGTGGCGGCGAAACCATGTTTGGACTTTCGTGGACGGTCGAATTGGTCTTTCTTCGCCTTGAGGAAACGAAGTCGACCAACGCCACACCCGACGTCCGAAGCTTTCGGTTCGAGCGTTGGGTTCGTTGACTCGAGGCCCGTGGAGCTTCAGATCATCGAGGCCCGCGGGAGTCATCCGCGTTTGATCCGATGGAGTGAGTGAGTTGGCTCCAAATCGCCATGCAGCAGGGAAGTATGAGGAATTTAGCATCAAGTTAGAACTATGAATGAAACCATTCAGGGATCTCTCTCTTTAGCTTGGGAACTTAGCATTTTGGTAAACCTTCGAGGTGCAAACATTGTTGGTCTCATGCTGCATCTCCCTGCAACTTGTTGCTTTCTCAGCTTTTGGCACATTTTGGAATCTTTTCCCGCATCAACCGCATGTAGGCAGCACGCTTGGACTACTGCGCCAACTCGAAGGAGAAATTTCGAGCTCCTAAACGCGCAAATGTGAGAATAATGTCATGTGCAATGCACAGAAGCTGGATAGAGTTTGTTGCTGCGCTTTTCTTTTTGAGAGACTTTGTTCGTCCTAGCTACAATTCCTCATTCCAGGAGCGCGAGCGCCTTCAAAGGCAAAAAGACGCAGCCAAACACATCCTGCCTCTGCTGAAGGAGAAACCTGGTTTTCCGACGAACTCCTTCTATCAAAAATCATTGTTTCTATACATTCTTCCCTTCTGCAACAGCAGTGCAGGACCACCACCTGCTGCTGGTGACCTTGCTGCTGCTGAATGCCTTGGCAAATGAGGTACCTGTGCCTCATGAGGTGACAGGGAAATCATGAATCGATTCGTTTTATTTGTCACTTTGTCTTTCTCTGTCTTATTAACGGGTCTCACGCTGTCTGTTTCAACATCGTCTCACGCTCCCACTCAGATTCTTTTTCGCCCCGTGAAGCCCATGGTGTTGGACGACCTGCTGGACGTCTCAGGCCTTACCCATTTTCCTGGACGACCTCCTGTCGCCGGTCTTTGCAGTCTTGCTGTCGGCGCGGGGGGGGTTGGGCGTGGACCTTTTTTGGAATCCTAAGCGACATGATCCAAATGACATGAATCGACTCCCACAAGCCATTTGGTTTTAGAGAGTTGAAATTGGTCTCCAACGAGAAACACTGAAACACTGAAGTTTTCAGGGTTTTCAGCGATTGCTTGCACAACAACAAGACTTCCGGCGCGAAGTGCATGGTTCTGCATGCTTCAGGTGGTCCGCATTTTTCAGCTTTGTAACATTGTAGTAGCTTCTTGCTCCTGGTAGTACGGCCAGGAGCCCCCAGTAGCGTCCTTGCTACTAGTAACTAGTAGCGATGCTCTTTGCTCCCTGGAAGCTACTAGTAGATGAACACCTCCCCTTCCTTTTTGGCTCATGGATTCCCCATGGATTCACCGCGACGGGGTTTTCCTTTGGCAGGTCACCTTCGTGCTGGTCTGCGGAGAGATCTTGCCCTCGGCACCTTGGCGCCCCGCTGTGGTGTCCGTTCGGCCGTTCGGCAGTGTCAGAAGATGTGCCCTTTTGGGAAAAGAAACCCTTTGTACACCTGTCATTTGTGTAAAAAGAGTGTACTGCGTTTGTCATATATAGTGTATATTTGTATACTTTAGCATTTTGCACCCGCAGCCTGTGCTTTCGGCTCAGCCGATTCTTGGCCGATGAGCCGCCCTTAGGCAGTCTTCACGGGTCCTTGGCAGCTGACCTTCTCATCTTGGCGAGCGGGTGGTTGGGTTCGGGAGCAGATGGCAGCCGTTGATTCGCATTGGTTTGAAAATGGCAGCCGTGATGGGAATTGGATGGAATTGGACATTTTCACAAAACACCCCACAAGGATGAGGGGTCAGAGTTGGACATTTCGTGAGTGGGACATGTTTGGCCCAATTTGACAGCTTGTTGATTGCAGGTTCGTCCCAGTGGTGCGATTCCTGCTTTGTGCCTTGTACTGTATTGCGAAGCCCATAGCGAGGATCCTTGACAAGGCAAGGGTGGGGTACTGGATTGTGAATGATTTCTGGCCCACTGCATGAAAGGGGGTGACCATTGACCATTGAAGAAAGTTTGTGGATGGATCGTGGTCAGCTTTATGTGAGCATGCTATGAAAACCATCCGTTTACCATGGTTAATCGTGTACATGAGCAGAGCCTCTAGGGTTTGCTGGGTTTGGATTGTTCGTCATGCCGACGCATAGATGGCCTGCACATGCTATGGATGCTGTCTGTGCTGGATCGAGGCACTGAAAAAGGACCGCTTCGAGCGCTTCTCGCGCCCCGAAGTGAGAGCCGTGCTGCGCCTGGAGCGCCCAGGTTCACGTGGAGTCTGTCGGGTAGAAAAACCCAGAAAGCATAAGTGACAAGTCATGTAAGTCATATTTTCTGTTTGCTGTATATAACTATGATACAACTATAGTATAATTGCAACATAATTGTATACGGTCTCCTAAGGAATTGATTCCGACGTGATAAGTTTGTTAGTGAAGTGAGAAGTTTGTTAGTGGTCGGTTAGTCCTGTTTTGTTCTTCGGTTAGTCCTTTTGTTGTCAAGGATATTGACGAGCCTCAGGTCTACACTGCGCCAGTGGCTCTGCAACCTCAGGAGGAGCGGAACGATGAAGCCAACGCTTCACTCTCTTTTTCTTGGGGAGGGCGGCAAGAGGAGCGGAGAGCTAACAAGTAAGTGGCCAGCAGTAGAACTTTCAGCTACAAGACACTTGGAGGCAGAAGAGCTCAAACTTCTTCAAGGAAGCACTTCCTGCCTAATTTGGTTCCAAGATTCTTTTTGGGAACCTTAATTTCCGCTGGCAGGCCAGACTCTGAGTGAAGGCTGGGATGGCAGAATCTTATGTGAGAGAATGTTCAGAAATGCCTTTTGCGTGGGGGTGGCTTGTTTGGCCTTCCTCTCAGACAGGAATCGCAAAATCTGTCAGGCTCTGGCTTCAGCCCCTTTCGCAGCTCCGCACAGGCTCAGCCGCTGTGCACAGAGGAGGCGTGGCAGGGATGGCAGCCGCAAAATGGAGCTTTCTTTGAACCTTGTTGCCAGCTAAGTTTTTTTGTTCTTTGGGTTTCAAGCCTGAATTTTGCGTCAAGATTGTCGACCTTTCAAATTGCATCTCATGCATCCAGACCGTGACCAAACCACATTATTCATCATTCATATTTGCCAGCTACCTCATGGTGCCACATTCACCGCATGCAATCAGGATCCTCCTGAAATGGACCCGCCAGTCCTGGATGACGAAGAGGCGGGTTGATCAGGCTCCGCGCTCCACGAGTTCAGCACATTCACAGGCTCCAGCGAGTTCCCAGGTCGACCTTTGCTTGGCCATGCTGAACTTGGGAGACACCTTGGCCAGGGCCTCGAGAGGATAGCTGCTGGAATCTTAGGAGAAAAGTGAGAGACCTGGTGAACTGAACGCGAAAAGAAGAACTTTTCCGTTTGGTATGTTGAAGCCCTTCTCAATCCCAAAGGGCCAATGAGGGGACCAAGACCAACACGCGAGCGGACGGACGAGGTGGCAGACAGCCCTGGTTTCTACACGCTGAAGCAGTGCGCCAGGAGATGCATTCTGCACTGCGCGAGAATATCCGAAGGAAGCTGGAATTTGGATGTTAGGTCACCTGCCGAATCAATGAGATGACGTGTGGAAATCTAGTAGTTTACGGAACTGCCGAAATATTAAGATTTCTAGGAGCAAGGACGCTACTAGGGGCTCCTGGCCTTACTACTAGGAGCAAGGGTGCTACTAGGAGCAAAGGGCATCGCTACTAGGAGCAAGGACGCCACTAGGGGCTTTTTATTCGCTTCTACAGGAGAGTCTTGCCAGTGGAGTTCTACAGTTCGGCTGTTTGCGTTGCAGCAGATGCGGTTGCTGCAAACAAGGACTGTGCGTACTTTGGATGCTGGTGACAAACCAATCCAAAGGGTCCAACCAGCTTTGGCAAGACTATGTTTGGAAGCGTTCACGAGGCGCTGAGGCGCTTGCATTCTCCAATTCCAAAGAGCTGCTAGAATGTCCTGTTTGGAGGACCTGGTGGCGGTTTTCCCCAGCCTGGAGAATGTCCAGTGGCCCATTGAGGTGGCCTGTGAGGACATCACAGGCATTGGGTTTGGATCACCGGCGGCGGGGATCAAATATAACAAATATATATATATATATATATATATATGTATGTATGTAGTATAATATAAATATATAGATACATACACAAATGAATGAATAGATCAAAGCAGAGTTTGTGCGTTTGTAGACATGACTCTAGGTCTTTGCACCAAAGCTGGGTTTGTGCCCATATTCACGGACAAAGTCATAACTTATGACTTTCTGTGCACAGTATTCGGTCTTGTGCCCTGTTATTTCTTGTTTGTAACAGTTGCCTTGCAGCGAATTGGTCGTGTTGCTCTGCCGCACCGATCCGCACCTCGAGGCCTCGTGAAAGTTTCAGAGCTTCTCACAGCAGGGGTGACCCAGGTGGGAGTGCTTTGCCGGCGCAAGGAGGTGCCAAGACTGGAGGCCGGGAACGTGTGGAAGGAAACGTGGTCGGGGGTGATGAGATGTTTGGAGATGGATTGCAAGTGAATGGTGGACCTTCTTGGGGTACTGGAGGGACTCCAAGTTGATTTGGCATGCCCTCGGACCGAGAGACATACATACAGTATTGGAACAATGGTACGGTAGAGTTCTCCGCTGCTTATTGCTCAAGCCTCCGAAACACTAGTCGCCGCAGCTCTTGGCAATTGC